GTCCATCCTACACACAGGMTCACCAGCTGTGGGTCAGTGTAAGGAGTTGTCCAGATTCATCCAACAGGGCACAGAAACTCGGTGACATCCTAATAAATCACACAAYGCTCTGCTCTTTCTTGCTCCTTCACAGCAGGCCAACATCACAAACCAGATGTTGCAGTACCACTTGCAGGATATTTCTGGCAGAATGCAAGATGTCTTGTCAAGGATGCTCCTCAGTACAGGAGGCCTATCAGATTTTATATTATTAAGGTATTTTCCTGTTACAGTCAGGGACTGTCAGGGAAAGAAAGCACAGAAAGTCAAAGAATTTGGTTTCATGGACACTGAGAAAAGGGGAAACAGTCTAATCATGTTAGCAATGCTGATAATCTCATTCTTTGTATTACAGCTATAYTACTTYTCCAATGTATTACCAGTGCTACCCTYCACACTTGTGTATCCTGCTGGATATTCACAGAAAAATAATTCTTTGCCTTCATAAGTGGCTTTTGTAATGAAAAAAAAAGAGAACTGAAACCTGAAAAATGCTTACTTTTACCTACCTTAATCCTTTATGAAAAAGGCAGAGGAAAAGGTARCTGAGCCTTCACAAAAGGCAAGTAGGTGGCCAGTAAAGTTGATATATACTGGTCCAGCCTAAAGAACCAGATTGCTTTTTCCATTTATGCACTTCTCAGACATCATTAGCTAATGGGACTCTTGTCTATTTTATGCATAAAACCTGCTTATAAGTGTAAAAGTTTGTTTTCTTCATGTTTGTTGTTTTTTTTTTAAAGCAGTTCACAAACTTTTAAAGACAACCAGCTATTCTCCAAAGTCCTTATTCTCATGTTCCACTTGTATTTTATGAAAATTTCATCTCAGCTGAAAGCATTCTGGATATTTTGTATATAATACAAGTGTAATGTTATTTTAATGAATGTTTGCACAGTACTGGTCCTTTAGTTCAATTATGTAAAAAACAGGTGCATGGGACATGGGTAATAGGAAAATAAGTTTATTTCAGAGCCTAATTGCTACACTGATGATTGTAATAACAACACTGGCAGGCATTTGCTGATGTTTTTGAGCAGTAGGATTTTTGCAGTGAAGAAATACTGAAAATRCTGATTCCAAGTATTCTTCTTACTATAATTTGTCAGTAAGAAACTTTAAAAAAAAAAATCTATTTATTACAAAACTATGGGTCTTGTTTACTTAGGTCAGAGACAGCCGAAGTTGTAGATACCTGCAGAARCCCTGGTTAAGTAGGCGCTATTCTTTGCTTCTGTTGGACACTATTTTTGGACACTCTGGGTTTTTTTTTTTACCTTTTTCTGTGTGTCTTGCATGTTCTGTTTGAAATATTTTACAACCTAGGGACACTTGACCATGTACAGCTGATCCAATTCAGAAAGACTTTGMTGCCAGTTATCCTTGTGCCCCGATCCTGAGCAAGGCAAAATAATTCCTGACAGACATGAGTATTCACCTCCCACAGCTTCCACTGTAATCAAGCAAAMTCACTGAAAGACTCTGCTGGACTTCAACATTCTTTGGCTCAGATTTGCAGAGCCTGGTGTTTAAAGGCATTCAAGGCMCCCAAGGGGGCAGGAAGCACCTTGTGGATTTCCCAAGTGTCATAAACCAGGAGCTAATTCCTAGATGATTCACTAAAAATTCCTGCTGCTGTGTTGCAATTGGCAGCATGGATTACACATACTCTTAACCCTTAGTGTTTGATAAGGCTGAATCACCAATTAACACAAATGACCATAATCTGCACCCACCCAGGTCTCTTCTGAATTAACACCTTTACCCCTAGCCAAACTAGCAGAATCAGATTTGCAGAAATGCAAGGCTGGGTGTTGTATTCAGTACTTGTCTTACAATTCAAGAGCAGTTTCAACAACAGGTTTCCCCTTTGCAGACTGTACTCTGAGTGCTGAGCCAAACCAGCCTGAAGAGTTTCCTTGAAACAATGATAACAGCTATTGAGTCACTATTAATAATGGATTAAATTATCAGGAGCATTGTGCTCTATTAAACACTATTCTCTACTCTTCTTGCTAGGAATTTACTTCTAAAATATTTTATGCACCTGTTGTAAAAGGGAAATGATGTTTCATCTTTACAAAACCTCTTTTTTTATTATGCATAACCATTATTAGTGGATTACACTTTTAATCCACTTTGTCACATAAATAGAAAATCAATGGTTTGACAGGATTAAGCATTTAACGAAGTATTGTTATTATTATTATTGCTTTTCAAAACCAGATATTTTCTACAGAATTTTTTTTTGTACTAGTACGTGTTTTAACTTCTTCAAAATAAATGTTTATTTTGGACTTGAAAGCCAGGCAGTTGCTGCTTTCCCAACAGATCAGTGCCTCACTCATGCTCCTATTAACTTCAATAGAAAGAGGAGAATGGCCCTAGAAAATAATCAGTAGAAAAACAAATCTATTTTCTATCACCCTAATAGACATTAAAAGAATTAATTCTAATTCTCAGAACTGAGGATAGTTGATAGCATATAAAGATATCTTTACTAATYATCTTAACAATTTCTAATCACGTTAATCCTGTAAAGTTATCAAAACACTTAAGTAATCTGAGCTTGAGATGTTTTCTATTTACTCAGAATTCAAAGACCTCCTTTCAAAGGAAAGGTAGAAACAGCTTTGAAGATAAATGACAAAGGAGTGAGGGGAAACTCTAAACAAATCATATTTCTGATTAAACTATTATATCCTTAATGTAATCTCCCACATTTCTCATATTTCTTACAGACTTTAAACAAAACATTCAGAGCAAAATAGATCTCAAATAATTTTTCTCAATATYATCTTGAGCATAAATTTTAAAATGACTTTGTATGTTTTGTCTGCCTGAAACATATAGCTCTATAGTTTGCCTTTTAGTCTCTGCACCATGCCATTGGAAATTATTTACAATATTCAGAACGACTTCCTCATCCCTGCTCCCACTGAGAGAGAACATATACTTTTCATTATGTTGATGCAAATGAGGCAGCAGTTAATCATCTGCTTTGAAAACAAGGTACTTGGGCATTATTTAATTCCCTAAACCAGCAAACCATGTGTTTGTATTTATACAAACTGATCTCGCTATTGCCACACTGAAAAAATAAAAAGCAAACATGCTGAATTCTGGCCTATAAGCCTTTTCCTATGTTCATTTGCACTCAGATAATTTTCAGAGTTGGCCTTTTCTTTTTTTTCCCAGCCACAATTCTACTTTATTCAACAGGCTGGCCCACATCAATGAAGAAGGCAGGATTAGGCCCTTAATTTGTAATGGAGCCCAGGTTGTTGCTAAATCAGGTCATGCTATTAAAAGCTCTAGAAATTAAAAAAAAAAATAGTAGGAATAAAAGTTTGARCTCTGTTAAATGGTTATCTCAATGCAATTCTGTGGAAAGCCTCTCGCAAGAATTTGACAGGGTCTCCAGGTCTGATAGCAATAGAAATATTAAATATCTCTATTAATGAGTACCCTACCACTTCTAAACATGCAAAAAAAAAAAAAAAAAAAAAAAAAAAAACAGAGTGGAAAATACTAACTTGGTTCACAGGAAAAAAAAAAAAAAGATTATTGATTTTAAAAGTAGTATTTTTTTAATCTGCTTAGTAATATGCCAATAAAGAGAAATCTGAAGAGAAAACAAAAGATGACAGAGCTCTGCTGAGCAGTAAGCCTAGAAAGTAAAATATTATTAAAACTGATTGCATGGCGTGCCTTACACAATAAAAAAGATAATAATAATAATGTGGAAGAATAGAAGTTTTTGAAGTGAAGACAATGCTTTAGACTTAAAGTTCTAAAAGSGAAATATCCATGCTTTACAGAAAACAAATATGACACATGAAAAAGTACACACGCTGTGTTTTTCTAAACCTACTCTGTATCATTGTAATGTTTAAGTATTCTTAGTTCTTAGTCGTCATGAAAATGGTTTTGAGAATAGCAAATATATTTGCACAACAGACTAAGTTTGTCTTTAATTTTCAGGASTTTTGGGGAAGTTCCTGTCCAAGAATTCAAATCATCACATGAAGTGAGATGAGAGCACCTGACACTTYGGATTTCACTATAAGAAAGTCCCTCTGGAGAGACCAAACGATGYGCATTATTCATATTTCAGATTTTGGACATCAGGCTTACTTCACATGACAGCGTGGGCTACATGTTGATCACGCTGTGCTTTAGCTGCAAAACTTGCTGTGCGGCTTCAGAGGGTTTATTTCCCTCTCAGTGAAACGCACTGCTTACTCAGACCGAAACRGGAGGAGAATAGAGCACTGTGCATGAAAGCGCTGCTTCTGGATTACATTACTTTGATGAGGAATCTTTTTGACCTTTAGGGCAGCCGACTTCCACAAGTGACGAAAGATCCCTCTTCACTCTGCAGTGCATTTCTTCACGCAACTAAGTGTTGCGAGCTCCCTTCCCTTTACCCAGCCCTCTGCTATATCAATTAAATCACATTAAGCTGATTGTTATCATCTTTTTTTTCCATTTTGGCTCGGAGGAGGCACGGTCACGTTTCTATACACACAACAGAACGGGCATTGCCATTATTATCTCAATTTTTTAGCTTTGGTTTTGCAGCACTGGTAGGCAGCACGCATCCTGGACACGGCAGCAGCGAGCAGAGGCAAAGCAGGGGTGGGTGAAGGAGGTGAAGGAGGGCTCGGTTTGTCCCGCCAGCCCCGCCGCCCAGCTCCCCTCGCCTTCACAGCGCCGCCCCGGCGGCAGCGCCGCATCCCGGGGCCGGGRGAGGCACATCCCCGGCGGCAGGAGGAACGCGTTCCCGGCGATGGGGAAGGCTGCAGTCGGCGGGGCGGTGGCGAGGGCTGCCTGCGGGGCTCCCCCGCCTGCTCGCCGAGCGCCGGGACGGCTGTGGGCGGAGGCTCGGGGGGCCGGACCAGCACCGCCGCCGCCGCCGCCCGGCTCCGCCTCTCCCGCAGCAGCGCTCAGTCCTGGAGCGCCGCTCGGCTGCCAGAAGGGAGCCGCCACCTGCTCCGGTGCGGAGTCGCTTCTCGCTGCGCGCCGAGAGAGGAGAACAGCCGCCCCGCTGCCCGCGCCCGGGAAGTTACCGCCGCTCCGCCGCCGAGGGAGAGCCGCCACCGCCGCTTCCCGGTGCCGACGAGGGAGAAGTCGCCGCCGCGCTCCGCTGCGAGAGGGAAAAGCCCCCGCGGGCGCGCCGCCCCGCTCCGCCGCCGCCTCCCGGTCCCGCCGCGGGCAGGCGGGATGATGGAGCCCCCCGCCGCCGCCGCCTGCGCCTCCTGCCGCCGCTGCCCGCTGCCGCCCCTGCTCTGCCTCCTGCTCGCAGCGCTCTGCCTGCCGCCAGGTGAGCGCCCGCCCGCCCGCGCCGTCCCGGCCGCGCGTAACTTGGCGGAGGGGAGGCTGGGGCGCAGGTGGCCGTGCCCGCCCGCCGCCCCCCGGCTCGCCCCGGCACCTACCGCCGGCTTTCTGCTCGCCGGGGGTCGCTCCCGAGCGGCGGCGCCCGCCGCATCCCGCTGCGCTTCTGGAGGGGAGCGGTCCTCTCCCGCCTTCCGAGGGGCGCCGGCCGATGCCGTCTCTCCTGCGGGCAAGGCAGGAGCTGCCCCAGCGGTGAGGGGGACCGAGAGGCGGCGGTCTCATCTTTGCTGGTGGGAAGCGGCTGTGGGGTCCCTCCGGGGCGTTGTCAGCGGCCGCCGGGCAGCGCTGCCCCCAGGGCGGGAGCCGGAGCCGAGCCCCGGCGCGGTGCCGGTTTCACTTCCAGCCTGGGCGGCACGTCTGCGCAGCGAGCCGCCTGCACCTTGGGCGTCTCGGCCGCTTCTCCGCTGCCCGCCTCGAGTGTCGCCCGTGGCCGTGCCGGCAGCCCGCGGGGCCGGTGCTGCCGCTGGAGCCCGGGCAGCGCCGTGGGCGCGGTGCCGCCCAAAGGCAGGAGCAGCCCCGCTGTCCGTGCCCCAGCCCGCCGGGACAGCGCGGGTCCCGCTCCTGGGGACAGCGCTGCGYGCCCGAGGCTGCTCCGGCGGATCGGGTGGCGTGGGTAACTTCGCTTCCCCTCCCCGCTCCGTAAAAGCGCKCTTGAAGCGGGCGCTAGGGAAGTAGGAAGGCGCGGAGAGTGCTAAATACCCTAATTGTTCTGGGAATATTTTGGCTATGAGGTGTTTGTAGGCTTTGTTTTGTAAATATTGAGTGTGAAAGTGAAGTCTGAGGGAAAAGCTGTGAAGTGAGGAGTTCTGCATTCAGCGCGGAGACCGTCTCATTATTCTTGTAGAAAGAGCGTCAGCCTGTGGTAAAATTTTGTATTGCTTTAAGAAATGGCTTTGCCTCTGTGTGCCTTTGCAACAGCGGGTTTGCAGAAGTGTTGGAGTTGGTGGTGTTTTTTTTTTCATTCCTGGCCTCTGCCTGGTTGTTACGTGCTCTCCGGTTAACCATTTACGGGCAGCATGGTCGTGTCGGGATGGAACAGAAGAACGGGCCTTTTTCACTAGATGCATTTATGCTTGTGTTCTACAAGCTCCAAGGAGAAAAAAAACCTAGCTGCAACAGTAAACTAAGGCTGCTGAATCTGTGATTTCGAATAGAATAATAAAAACGTTCCAGACAGAATCAACAGCAACACTGGAACTGTAAGCAGTGTTTTGGGCTGTGCTGCTAGGCTTTTGCTTTGGCAAATACAGTGTATAATCACTGTAGGACATAAGAAATATCAGTCCCAGTGGCACAGCTTACGAAAGAATACTGGTTGCTGTGATGCAGAAAAAGTCTTCAGGAAAGATTTTTCATTTCAGGAAATCTTAAAGGCATGTGGAGTATCAGAGGGATAAGCACCTCAGYTTCTAAAAAGCAAGACTTGGCCCTGTGGAGAGATTTAACCCAGTAAATACAAAACGATCTTGCTTATTGTGTGACTGTCTACATTTTCCATTTGAAGAAAATATATGAATATGTGTTGATGGAGTGCATAAAARGATRGGACTTRASTACCTGTGATCTAAATYRRTTGTCAGCAAAACCATTTAACTTGTTCTTTCTGCTTTCCATTCYTTCCTTGCCTYCTCAAGGAGAAGCTCAGGCTAGCTSTAAGGAGATGTGGGRAGAAASCAGCTGAATCTCAGCTTAGAAACTTTCACTGCAGTACTGAAAATGCCTGGAAAGCTCAGTAGTAGATTTAAGCCTCTAGTTGTCTGTTTATTCTGAGGAATATAAAAGCTACTTAGATATGAAAATACCTATGAACAGGTGTTGATGTTGCTGTAGTTTTACCGTTTCTTCCCCCTTGCTATCTCAGCTATTTTAGATGATAGCTAGTTTGCTGTCATCTAAACGAATTCTGGATATATTACTCTATCATGGTGCTTGGATTTTGGGCATTCCATTTGAGATTTGGCTATGGAAAGCAGTAGATGAGCTATTAAAAGCATATTAAAAGTTTATGWGCCTCAGGTGTAAATATCTCTGGCACTATTAAAGAGAACTGGAGATCCTTATGAGAAAACTTGAGTTTGTTTCTTTACAGAATAAACTGTCTAAGAAGACACACATCTTTAAAAGAGAGAGGGTCCAAGTACACTTTTGGTACTAGGAGACTAACTCCAGGTCAGACTAAGTGAGAGCACCAATTATAATCTTCTACTTTTGTAGAGGAAATGACTGCATGTGAAAAGAAAGTCAACCCTTAATCGGGAGCTGATCATGGTCTTTGTGAAGCTTCCCCTTCCCCATGCTGTGTGGTGAGTTGTAACAATGAGGCTCTTAGTCTCTAGTTTTCTTACAACACTTGTTACATATTGCTATATTGCCTGAGCCCAGTGAGACTGAAACCTCTAGTCTTACATGACGCTTATGGTCTTCTCACTCCTGATTTTTTCCTGGTATGTCTGGTGTGGCTTTGAGCTGCGGAAAATGGATTTCCAGTTTAAGATCTGGAGTTCACATGGGTTTTCTGAAACTGAAGTCAGAAATGGYCTGCACCACGTGTATATGCTTCAGTGTGCCATCTATTTGTGGTCCAGTACACAGGTAACAAACCAGGCTCATTCCTAAGTGAGGTACAAATTTTTTAATTGATTGGTTTGGGAAGCATTTGATATATTTAGGGTTTTGGGGTTTTTGTTTTTTTTTTATGTGAAAGTCTTCCAACATAAACTATTTTTCCTGTGCTCTCCCTGCTGCTGTTGGGTTTGTAGCASTCAGAAGGCAGAGGGCAATGACAGAAATCATCCAGCTCTGTAAATCCCTGCAATTTCAACCAAGTGATTTTTATTGAAGAAAATATATGYTATATTCATGAAATAAATATACATCTATCACAAATCATATTTAATTTAACTTTCTAACCTGTGTAAGAGTAATGCCTTTTCTTACAGTACCTTCCATTTTCTTTCCTCAAAGTAACCTGGGTTGTTAAAATTATTTACCCTGGGATTATATATTATCTTTCTTTGTAGTAGGAGTAATTTGTTGACTTATTTCCAGCAGAAATTTTTGGGGGAACAGAATCTCTGAATATTGAATCAAGATGATACATAAAGGGGAAAATAAAATAGCATTAAGTGTTTTGCATAATGCAAATTACATCTATGTGATCAGGATAAAACTGTCTGCTCTATTTTCTTGCAAATATCTTATTATGTAGTGTGGTTTATAATTGTAAACTCTTAAGAGTGCTCTCTGCAGATTTCCAAGATGTCATACCTGATTCCATATGAGACCCTTTTGAAGCATATGAAAACAAGGATTTCTGTAGCAGCAGTAGCTTTAATATATTGGCTGCTCGTGCTGTATCACACCACCATGGGCTTTTTTAGGTTTCTACCTAGGGCTTTCTGGAGAGTGTTTTATTGTCAAAGTGGTTTTGGATTGATTAGGTGAAATAAGAGCAGATGTCTGAATAGGAAACGGACTACAGAGGAGCCCCACTCTCTGTATGAACTTTGAGCTTGTTGACACTGGGGACACTGAATGTATTTATTTTGTACAGCTGTAATTTGTAATTGGATCTCCTAGCACTGGATGATCAATATTCAGTTTCCCCTGTTTGTGAGCTGTCCTATGTGACCATAAGCACAATGATCACAGATAAGCTGGCTCGAGGTCTCTCCCCGGTGCTTGTGCCACTGCTGTTTCACACACAGGAGGTTTGTGTTTTTTTTTCTAATACTGCCATGCTGGTTGTTGAAACTGTTCTTCCCCCTCACTAGTATGATTTCTTGCTATGGTCTTGGTTAGTTCTGCCAACTCTGATAGGGGGCTCGACTTTACATATTGTTTTTTGCCATATCTAAAACCCATACCCTTCAGGCTCTGTCTTCAGTGATACTCAAGGTTCCTCTGGGTTGACTAGTGTGTAGCTTTTTCCTCTGGTAATACAGTCATTTTTTATTAACAAATGTGTGTAAACTGCCAGGCCACATTTGTAAGGGAATTGAGGACCTGTTGCAATATTCTAATTTCTCTCAAGTTCCTCTGTCTTCAAGAAAAATGGTTACGCTTCCATGCACTGATGCTCAAATGAGAGACTCTTAAAGAACTGTAAATGCTGTAGGGTGATAATTAGAAATGACTCAAGCAGAACGTGACTTTTTCCAGGAAAACCTGAATATTAACGACTCCCCTTGATATGAAATTGGAGTGTTATCTTCCCAGAAGACGAGGCTTTGACCTACATGTTCTTTATCTCAGTATATTTTCTTTAATGGGAACAGGGTGAATATTAAAGGAGACTTTACATTTCTGCCTTTAATACATTAGAAAATGAATCTCATAATTTAGAGAGGAGATTGCACTACACCTAGTATTTTGACAGTCCACTATTGGCAGTGATCAGATCAAGTTTATTCCTTTCTTTTCTTCTCTGGTTTTGTTTCCTTTTTCTTTTTCTCCAGTGTGTTTTGTTGAGGATGGCTTGAATCATACTCATTCTACACCAGTGGATTTTGATCTGGTGCTCCAAAGTGTTGATTCTTTTGAGGAATTTCTGCCTTGCTTGAGATCAAATTGCATTTGTTATCATGCATATAGGTCTGCAGAAAGGCAMATAAATATTTACTTATTAGAACACTGCTGCTTCTACTGAACTGATACTTTTATTGTTGATAAGAAATACTCCTCTTTTGGGCAATAAAAATATAGAAGAAAGTGATAAAACAGGAGAGAGCAAGACAGAGCACCTGCAGCTTCAGGGTATGATTTTTAGAGGTTATCAGGGGTTAGAACAGCTCTGTAGCATTTGGTTAGAAAGCATTTGAAGTGCTTTCTACAGCAATGGAAACWCTAAGCTGTTCCCTTGATAAGAAGTAAAAAGTGCAGTCAGTGATTTAATGAGTGTTTCCACAGTCTGTATATCTATATATTTTG